TTCTTGCCTGTTGTAGATTTAAACACCCTGTGAAAACCTAAGGCGCCTGACAAGGCAAATTTTGAAAATTGCCTTCGATTTCCAATAAAAAACGAAAACCTGATCAAACATTTTTCGACCCATAGCTTGGTTCCCTCAAAACGATACCGCAAAGCTTCACCACCTTTAAGCCGTTATCCACAATTTAAATTGCCACCCAGATATATGGTCGACCTTTTTCGTCGTGCCCGAATTAGAGAAGCGAAGAATATTCCGCTTCTTGCCTGATGATTTCTCGAACGGAAGCCTGACGCTAGCTTTTGAAGTTTTCATTGCTGAGCAGATTAATCATGGTCTGCCGGAAGTTATGATATTTCAAAGTTTCAATTAGTAGAACATGGTGCAGAAGAAAAGTACCTCATTTTTCGGAAGTCATCAGCACACATGCTTCACGAGTCTTTTGGGTGACTGGAAATACAGATCAATAGGCACCTGACACCCGTTGCTAGTTCTTATTTTTCACGGTTACTTGCGGGATCTTTAGAAATTCCTCTGGCGCCATCCTCGTCTGAACAGTTTTGCACCTTTCCCCAAAACGATTACTCCAGTTAGACCACCTCGAGTGTAGGTCCTTTGGATGTCAGACATGGCCCAGTTGTGCCTCAATGGCGCTCGTGCATCCAAGCTATTGTCTTCAATGCACCGCTCCCTTCTCAACTCTCCCGCTTAACAGTTCACCGACAGTACTGTATTTAAGCACTAATTTATCAGCTCCCGCCTCCGATGCGCAGCTCCTTACCCAATCTCTCCAAATGATCGGCGAACGAAACTGTGGCAGCTACCATCACTGTACGACGAGTACGCAGTTCTTACAGCTGACAGCCATGATGATGATGGGATGGGCGGTCAGCGAACCCCAGAAAGTCATAACTGCTCTTGTAACTCAGAACACAACGCCTTTTCGAAGATGTAAAATACACCGTTTCATTAGAGGGATTACTGCGTACCTTCAGCTCCCACGCGTTTTTCCAAAACTTTTGTTTTGTGCCATGATATGCAAAGTAGATGCAAATTCTCATGTTTGTGAGTGGAGAGTTAAAGAACGAAACCAAGATACACAAGAACAGCGACTTGGAATGCGCACGCATGAGACCTGACATTTGTGTTTTTAGGTTTTCTTTCGCATCCACACACAGAGATTTGGGTGCTCTGTCTGACAACTCAAAGACAGAAATCGATAATTGGTTACACTTGGTTTTTTCCACATGTCGAATATGCAAACACAAACAGTTGGGTGGATTCATTCAGAAACGTGTGCCACAGAAAACGCGTGAATAGCTGGATGGAGAGAACCACAAAATCTGCCAAGTATAACTGCGTGAAAGCACTTTATACTCCTTTTCTAAGCCAATTCAGTTTGAAGGGCAAAATGACGGTAAAAAAGTATCATCCGATATTTTTGACAATATGCTTCTTACAAGGACATTTCGAAAGTCCACTACGAGTTTCTTGAATCTCATCAGGTAGGCTTGATTCTCGATTCGGTACTCATTTCTGAACCGAACGCATAAGCTATCATTGATAAACACTAGTTCGCAAATTACACGGGTGCTGAGGGGAGATTTAACTGAGCCGTTTGTAATATTTTTCAAATGAACCTGTTGCACAGAGTTCAGTTCGTAAATCAGAGCAGACGGTATTTTTCTTGTCGTGACATACTACTCATAGGGTTACCGGAGACCCTTTAACAGCCCACTACCGTTGTAACCATTGTTGCTGTTGGACAGATTGGCCCAACCCCGAGTTTCCAACATATTTCTCACTTGAGTACTGAATTGGAAGTTTGTACAGAGAGGAACTCATTTGTGGCGGTGGCCAGTAAATTGGCGTGGTACAAACTGGAGCGAGTAGACAATAACCAAGACAGCGCTAGTGAGACTTTTGGTGACAGCAATGAGCAGCATATACGGCCAAAGACTACCACAAACGAGGCAGTCACTTGAGCCGCGCGGTAATTAATTCGCCAATGCGTGTATTTCAGCACATTCGTACACTTTGATGTATCAGTTTGAAACAAGATCGATGGAAAGTCGGGGACCATACACACATGAGTAGCTTCGAAAAGGGCGAAATCAATTTTGTAATGCACCACGTCAAGCAATTTACTTGAACGCTCTCTCAGTTGAAATATGGAGTAGCAGCATGCTCGGGGGAAGTATATCGTAAACAGGTGATTCGATCGGGATTCAGGTAAGTACCCAGTTAAAACCAATCTAACTTGCAGATTGCTCACCTGATTTTATTTTATGGTGAGTGATGTACACATAAAGACCGACAGGGCTTTCGGCTGTCTCTCCCAAATGAGGATGGAGAACATAAACAAACCAACATACTGACTAACCACGTTCTACATACTGAATTATTTTTGTGTGTTATATTTAGTTGTAAAGTCGCCCGCCTATTGACCACCCATCTTATGAATATGCCAACTTGAAGCAGGGTAGGGACTTCTCCAAAACACGAACAACTGCTCAGTACAAGAAAACCTAACGTTTCAGAGCCAAACTGCATAAAATCCACTTTCTGCTTTCTTTAGGTGAAAATCGTTCAGCTGTAACACCCTTTCGGTGCCTAACTGCCGGGCCACCCGAAGGAAGCACGAGGTCTGGGATACTGCCAAGTTGTCTAAGAATATATAGGGTAAGGTCGGGTTCGAACCACGGACCTTCCGGTCAATAAATTCGCATTCTAACCGTTGGACCATCCCACCCCCTTCGTCAGGTGACTAACCAAAGTATTCTGCTTCTCCTGAATACGTCGGCTATTTAACCAAAGCATTCTACACTGAAGATTACTGTTCCCTTTAAGGTCAGCGATTATGCACTGGTTATTAGAGGAAGAAGCACAAACCCAGGTTGCATCAAACGACGCACCTGTAGGGTGAAAAATCCTCATACGCATCAAGAACAGATTGTATTTTCCAAGAGATATTTTTGTTTTATCGTCAAAGCACGACTTTTAGATACTGTTTTGATTGGTCTACCTATACTGACCTCAAGAGAAGAATTTCGATCAAATCAAAGCAATGGCCACAGTGAGGGGAAAACCGGTACTCCCTCTTTGTCACACATCAGCCGCAGGGCCGTGACGGGAAGGCTTTTGGAATAATGGATTACTTTATTCCCACATTCACTCAAAAGACATTCGGCATTCAGTATCCCACCAGTCGTTAAGCTTGCAGAACGCATCTTGAGCGACAGCCGTAGAAACAGGTCTGCTTTATATGGATTCGGCGCCCTATGCACGAAAATCATTAAACCATCATAGAAAAGTTTGAAAAGCAATCGGAGACTCGATTGATACAAGTTTTGTCAAGTCAAGTGAGTTGGCTACCATGCTGGCCTAGATTTGAGACAAACGGAGAACCAATCAGCGAGTTGTTTTTCACCTAGCATAATTAATGAGTGCTGAATGTCGGCTCAAACGTTTTGTCATCGACTAAGTGTGGATGACTGAATCTACGATTGGAGGGTAGGCGAAAAGAAAATTCCTGAGGAAACTACTCACAAGGCTGCTGAATACTCTCCGACAGCCCGCGGGGGGTTCGCCCTTCCAGTTCGGACTCATCAGGTAGGCGCAGTCCCCGAGTTTCCGTCAACCTGATGTTCTACTTGAACCCAAATTGGACAGATTGAGACAAATACACACTCATTTGCAAATCGATTTGGTTTTCACCAGGTTCCGTGTCTTCAATTGATGATTCATCATGCGGTTTATTTACAAAGCTTGTTCGTATGCGTGGATCAGCGAGAGCAGCGACAAATTTAGACTTTGCGCATGCGGGCTAATCCCCACAAGTTAGAGCACATCCTGTGAAGCATGCAAATAAAAAACTTGAACAGAAAAATGTGGTCACATGGAATGCTGACCCAGTAAATCTCCTGGTCGTACGGACTACACCGGCCACACCTGGAGACGGACTCTAAACTCAGACCACTCAGTCAAATAATCGACATTCCATAAACCTCCAATGTGGGAGGCACTCATCGGGCACACTTGTGGAGCTGAAGCAAACCACGGTGAATCAAGTGCGAGACGATCATTCAGCTTCTCCACCGTCTCAGTTGACAGAATACCCCATCCGGTAAGCGGAGAGCCCACTCGACTTCACTGCCAATCGTTCGTCTACTCCGCTCCCTTAACACTTTCTTCCTAAGCCACACCGAAATTTCCAATCGTCCAAAATGACAGTCGTCTTTAAGCCTCTTTGAAGTCTCAGTGAGGAGCAGACGGGAGAAACAGATGCGCATCAACGTCTGGAGAATCTTTCACCAGGAAACTGCGAGCGACACATGACTTCATTGAAAAACCAGTAGAAAAACCCGTAGAAACTGTTTGGAAATAACGTGAAGACAGTATGCAACCGTACCGCAGGATATTTACGCTTACAAGCATCAACTATAGAGCAACGCCAATCAAAGTTGTGATTTTCAGATGGCTAACGGATCGAACAATTGGAGTGAATGATCAACCTCCCGGTATTGTGCTGTCCCATCAGTCTGCGAAATCCAGTGCTGAATGCCGGGAACCAGACGAGTCCTTATTGGACGTGTATAACTGATGAATCCTACTAGACAAAATCGTATCGATCGATTACAGTTCCACCGTGAACTTCACTTGACAGGTAGGTATGAGCAACAAGGTTGCGGAATTCTCATCTGTTCAGCAACACGCATGTGTGCCTGTTCAACTAACACGACGAACCACATAACCACATTGTGTGCGCACAGTCAAATACAGTCACAAACTGCTTATTGACTCAACTTTGGCAAAGTGAAGTATCTCGTTTAGGGAGGCTGAATTCACCCTGGACCACTATCGGTTGAGTTGAACAGAGGTAGAACGAACATCAGGGATAAGTCACAAACCTGGTTATTGGAAATCGATGAAGTGTCCTCCGTAAACACCGGTTCGGTTGTCGAAGACATTGTGTCGATATCTTGCAAATGGAACTGCCAGAATTCATGATGAATCACTTGAGCAGAGGATAGGCGTTTTCGAGGAGACTTCACCAAAAGACCGTTCAGCAGAGACAGGAATTGTGGAGAAGCTGGACGCCCGGAACACTTGGGTGGAGTGAAATTTCCGTACAATATGGCACTCCTGCCCTGAATTGTGGGTAGGGGGTAGAGGAAAGTTAAGAAAGACTGAATGAAATATGTTCATTGTGAACAGTATATCTACGGTTGGCACAATAATTTGAAATGGAATTGGAGATCCTTATTCAGCAAAACGTTCGCGACATCGTTCTGCTTGGTTCATCTGAGTATATTTCATGGCATCACAGCAATCGTAAATTAATACATAAGATGAGTGCAGCTAATTTACTCACTCACTTCAAGACAATTCTTGAGACCAAACCCGGCTCAGGCGGTTGCCAGCCGAGCTGCAATCAGCCTGAGAATAAAGAATGGCTTGCGCTCAGAACGGTGGTCAGTGGGCTTGAAAACTCAAATAATGCAGAATGAAGGCAAATGGAAGTTAAAAGCAGGTGCATAACTGTCGGACCCATCATTACTAACAGTTTCTGTTTAGTCTTGCAAATTCCAGTTAGCCTTGGGGTGGTGCAATGAAAGGCCTGTAAACCAATGCGGTGATTGGCCACTTTCCGTCACGTGATTGTAGCAGTTCTTAGTTTTGGTCTGGAGTGGGACCAGATGGTCGGAAGCCACCGTTAGAAGTGCTATTGATTGGAGCACCTTACCCAGCAGCTCGAAATAGCTCAGTGGTTAAGGCGCGTACTTACTGACCCAAAGGGCCGTGATTCGAACAGAACCCGATATCTCGACTGCTCCTGTCCAGCCTTGGGCAACCTGGCGGTATCTCAACCCGGTGCTTCCATCGGGTGACATGTCAGCTAGGTGTCGAAAAGGTGTTACGGCTAGACGATTGTTTTTACCATTATTATTAGCTGAACTGATAAACAATAAAGAATGTGGGTCTTCTCTGGAAAGACTTGGATTGGTTCGTATCTGGAGGTTGTGGTTTAACATAGTCGCATTACAGTCTGACGGTTTTCGTTAACCCTACATTTTCAGCTATAACTGTGGGGGAAAAAACAAGGAGATAAGGAACAAGGTGACATTACGGCTGTTGGGTAGGAACGGTTTCAACAAACTGATCAACTGTAGTGGCGGAAGACTGCTTTTTGTTTTGCTGCTTGATGTCACTTGTTGACACAAAAACCGGAGAGCCTCCTAATGGCTTGTTATTCAATCCTACAAGATCATATAATGATAGCTGCTGATGCGTCAACTTCAACACAGTGGTTGAGAACCGTCGACGACTTATTTGTCTGACTGGGGGATTTCACACAGCTTCCGTATCGGTGCGGAACAGAATTATTATAAAACTCAGCTTATCGTTTCTTGAATAATGTGGTGCCTGTGATGGCAGACATACGATCGATCGAGGAGTTAGCACGAGTTACTTTATATCTTGTGGCTAATACAGTTGATCATACTGCTGACTAGCCACTTAGTGATGAATCATATGATATTCACCTGACTTCCGAGAAATTGTTTGCTTTGAATCTACCCGAAAGACCCAAACTGAAAAAAGTTAATGATACGGAGGGTCTAGAATGGACCTAAGCTAGGTATCGACAACTCTAAACTCCCATTTANAAGAGTGACGCAACAAGTACACCGGCAATGGCTAGAAGACGCCAAAAACCCCGAACACTCGAATTGAGTGCATCCGACTTCTTGTCGCATTGCCGAGAACATCGCCAACAAGAGTAGCACTTTCTTCGGCAGGCGATGTTTGGGTTTGTACAGTAAATTTCCCAATCACCTTTAATTTATTGGCCTAATCTGCTGCTCCACAAATTCCAATGAATCAACGAGTACTAGTCAGTACGTCAGCGCAATCAGTCAGCTCGGCTACGAAAGTATTTCTGGGAACTTCAAGAATTCAAGAGTAACGTGATTTCCAAAATCAAAGCAATCATGGACACAAGGTTTAGCATAATTCAGTAGCCTGGAAGGTGAGTGAAGCTGTTTCGCTTCTGTTGTCTGAAAACACTTGAGTGTCATCTATGTTGAAGGTGATTTCTTCACGATAATTTGGGTTTTCGAAACCATGCGAATCAGATCCTAGGCTAGGAAAAAACTTTCTCTTTTGGCTGTAGCACCCTTTCGGTGCCTAACTGCCAAGCCACCCGAAGGTTGAACGAGGGCTGGGACACCGTCAGGCTGCCTAACCCCAGACAGGGCAAGTCAAGAGGCAGAGGTCGGATTCGAACCACGGACCTTCGGTTCAGTAAATTCGCGCTCTAACCACTTGGGCCATCTCGCCTCCTAGACTAGAGGTTGAGTTGAATACGAAAAGCTACTTTGATGTGGACCATAAAAACATCAAAAAGGCAAGAAATTCAGAACCACAATCTAATGAGTGACTCAAGCATTTTTTACTTGGGGCGAAGACAGAAATTAGCCTTGATAACTGGAGATTCTCTGTATGAGTTTTACCATAATCAGATCATGAGTCGAAATCCGTGGAGATCACTGAATATTTTGTTTCAACAAAGTCCTTTCCGTAAGGTTCTGCAACTTTCATTCGATTTCCCCAAGACGTTAGCCCTGTCTTTGAATTCTACACCTGACCCCGAAAGAGGCCACGGCGATGAGAGGTCAAAGCCCCTTTTACCAAGCAGTGGCCTACTTTACTGGGTTCACTCTAATTATTTCGTATCCATGTAGTCCACAATCAACCTTGAATAACCAGACAGATTGGGAATATACTCAGTCAATTGAAAAGCTGAAGTTGAGGTAGGAGCAACTGAAATCCCCACTGTAAAGCGCATCAAACTGCAACACTTGATGGTGCTGGATATTGGGGCAACCCACAAACCGCCACAAATGTACTAATTATTTTTATGATAAGGAAGCATGTGACCTAAAGGCATATATAACATAGACCCATATGAGTACGGTGATTCACTTCAAACATAATGACCATGGAACAACCTAAACATGTCTACTGACAATGGAAGTGATGTCGACATGAATTCTATTGAACACGTTCAAGTTTCCTTCTTGACTTAACACACTCACAAGGTTGCTGAAACTTCTCATCCATCTTGGGACTGACCAAGCTGGCGCAGTCCATGAGTCTCCGTCAGCTTTATGTCCTACTTGGATCTATATAGGACATAATTCGTCCAATATACTCGTTTAGTAGTTGTCTTGCACCAGGCAAGCCGACATGTGACGCTGTTAGTCAGGTGTCGCCAAAAATGATTTGAATGATAAGCAGAATGCCCAACTTGATAGCAACGTATGTAATCTATCGGCAGTTCCGTTACTGCAGCGCTTATTCGCTCACACGCATAGACAAACATTCTGATCGACAATCAAGAATCCTCAGCTAAACCAGGCCATCATACCCAGCCCGAATTTATATAGTTTTCCCCCAAGCTCGTCGGCTGTGACCTTCACCAGGTAAAAAAACTTTTTGTCCGCAGGCCACAATGACTTAGACAACTGTTAGTCAAGGCACTTGGTCTGCCTTAAAACTCGCCCACATTGTAACCCAGTCAATCGACCTGGAAAGGCATTCACTTGGAATGCGAGAAGCTATTCAGTAATAAGTTCAACAAGTGTTTTTAAAATTGTCCTAAACGAAAGCGTTTTTCCTATAATCATCCTGTATGGGGACGCGAGTGTAGTTTAACAAATACGGCACGCACATAGCCAGCCACAAAGTTCGAATGGTGGCATTTCCTATACCATCAGATGGGCTATTGTGTCTTGACAGAATGCATTACTTCTGCGTTGACAGGCCAAAAACAAAATGAATGGGAAATTTTGTAGTGAGACAGGACTGTGCATTTTCGTTTGACATGAGCTGAACACCGAAGTGTTACCAAATGCTCCGCTACACCTAATGAACGAATAATTTAACTGGACATGACTGGAATTTTCAGCATAGACAAAACTCACGGGGCGTATCATTCCTAAACCCAAGTGCCGAGATATGAAATTTTCCACGATTCGATGCCAGGGATCATTACTCTTAACTACTACATGAAGTTTCCACCAATCTGCGGACTACTCACCACTACGCTTATCACGCTGCTCTTACATCAGCAAACGAACGCAATTACGTACACTGAGATCACAGTGGTCACGGAAGAACACGAAACTGGTGTCCTACTTTCGCCCAATAATTTAACTGCAGTGTAACAATAAGATCGTGCTTGACCGTGGTCGTTTCTTATTCCGGCTGTTTGAAAATTCATCAGCAATTATGATTGGGGAATCACCCTGCGTTGTTCCGTTTGAAAGTAGAGGGATGAATTTGTTCATTTTTGACAAGTTACAAAGTTCTGTCTCTATTTCTTCAGTTAAGACTACAGTGCCCCTGACATTTCCTGACTTTATGGCATGAAATTGTTACCGAAGTTCCTTGTACGCATTTGCGTGTTTCAAGCGCATTTTTTTTAACTGACCGAGGTGTAGACCAAACGACGATCGTTCCCGGATAGACCCCATTCTTGTGCAGGCGTTAGCATTGCAGAATCACTATATATCGTGTAAGTCCTCTAATCTGTGCAACGTTAAAAAGATGGTAACTGACAAAGTGATCCGTAGTTGTGACTACGCTCCCTTGGAGAACACTAAGAGCGCATCGACAGCACAGCTGCCCATTCGGCAAAACTGATTAGCTTCTAACCTGCAGAACATAATGTGCAGTGCTCTTTTTCTGGGGTTCGCATGGCGCAGCTACAAGAAATTAGTGCTGCATCAGCTAGGATAAGTGTTTCCTATGCCCGGATTTTCGGCTTCTAGATTTGGAAAACCAGAAAATTCCACTGCGTAAACAAAATTCTAGTATCTTCTAGATATCAGAGAATCATTTTGGTTTCTGATGGTTTCGCTGACAACAGGCTTCCGATAACCAATCGAAAGAATCAAGTGGAACGAACGTTTTCTGCATTTTTCGCCTGTTCCATTTTTTCGGCATTTCGGATCTAACACAACTCCAAGTCTGCGCGGACAATCACCAGAGGTGCGCAGCCGAAACCGGGAAGAGAATGAGGCGATGTTCAGTTTAATCACCGTACTTGTGACCTGTACCCTTGTTTCTGACAGACAGCATATATCAATTCAGAGGGAATCTGGTGTACTAACAACAGCCACCTGTTGTTCTGCCTACTCCAGTGAGAGGATATTAATGGCAGTTAAGAAGACCAGCCTTCGCGTTCAAAAAAAGACTTCGAATTGTTTGAGGTCGTTACTGAATTCGGGCATATAGAAGATGAAGCTCAGTGGGATGCACAGCGAACAAAACGCTAAGTCCGTGCTGCGACCTGCGAAGAGAGTGTTCAAATTCGGATGATATAGGGTGGAAGAAGGAAAACGTGAAATCCCAATGGAGGAGTCAGTAGAATCGTGTGTTGCTTACCCATCCTGTTTTATGGAGGAAGTACAGCGCCCCGACTGATGGCACCACGCGATGGTCAGCGTGGCATGATAGTATTTTTATTTGCGACGTTCGTGGTTGTGCGCGGGCTGGAATACTGTCAGGGCACCCACACATAGATAAGACGATGGGTTAGTCCTCGCCGAAAACTTTTGACTCAAAATCCTGACCTCATGAAGCACTAGGGCTGGGTTAATGTCAGGTTTCCCAAGCTTAGACAGCAACAATGGAGACGCATAGGTTGGTTTCGTACCATGTGTCATCTCCAGTCGGCATACTGCTACAATAGTGTCTTTTGTGGAAAAAGTGATCTTGCCCGTTTCAACCCAACCTGAGGGACAGGAGCTTGTGTTAGTCAAACCAGCCTGCTGTGGGAAACTGCAGGTGCCAAAGTGATACACCTACTAGGGCTCGGTGGGTCACAAAGTTGCCGCCACATGAAGATATAGTCCGATTTTTTTACAGCGGAACTAAACAAGTAACCAGAGAGGGACAAACAAAGTTTACCTAACATAATTCAGTGTGACGCGCGCGACGCAACCATCCAGATTGAAACAATTTGTTGTTGCAACGTTATTGTCCTTTATATAAACCGCAAACACTTAAAGAACGCGTGGTTGTCTGGTGCATTATTTTTGGACTGATTGTGGTGTAATCTCCACATATCGTGCCTCATGTCTGAATGTCAGTAATAGGGCTGGGTCACAAAGTTGCCGCCACATGAAGATATAGTCCGATTTTTTTACAGCGGAACTAAACAAGTAACCAGAGAGGGACAAACAAAGTTTACCTAACATAATTCAGTGTGACGCGCGCGACGCAACCATCCAGATTGAAACAATTTGTTGTTGCAACGTTATTGTCCTTTATATAAACCGCAAACACTTAAAGAACGCGTGGTTGTCTGGTGCATTATTTTTGGACTGATTGTGGTGTAATCTCCACATATCGTGCCTCATGTCTGAATGTCAGTTAATGGCCCCACGATTTTGAACTTTGTAATAAAATATGAATAAATTCACCTTAAACTAGCTCCTTGGACTCATGCAACAGTAGATGATACTCGTACATATCTAAAGGCGACCTGTGACGAAATATTTGCGTTAGGACATTAGGACTCTTCCTCTGAGTGACACTGCTTGCAGCTCCTAGCTTTCCGCCGAACATCTGAGTTGTGCGCCAGGGTGGTGGAAGGCAACTGCCGAAAAATTGTCAAAAAATAGTCTAAGTTTCCGAGAAATACCTGGCTAAGTAACCAGATGCAACAGTATGCCACTAGAATAAACAGTCCGAATGAGATGACTAGCCGTCCCGGGCAACTCATTGCATCATATTGAGATGTTAATTTATTGTTTTTCGCTACAGTGATCAGTGAGTAAAGTTTCCGTAGTTTCACTATATTACCTTTCAGAACTATTCCAACTTCTTCACAGCCAGAAACAACATGCACAATCCAGAATACCGTTCCAGATGAGTTGCGAGTATTGTACTCATGTCGTTTTTTTAAAAAAACACGCCATTTTGCGCGTCCACTCAGACATTCACCCTCGAAGTCTTGAGACCCCAATAGGGGAAACCAGCACGTCACCTAATTTTCTAGGGATTAGAGTCAATATGCACCCACAATTTGTTGATATGGATGGAAAATTTATCGTTGTTTTCAGGAGGGTCCGTTTCATTTCTTCTACTACCCCCGTTACTTTTTACCGCGTCGAGATTTTATATCACGAGCTTAGATACTCGTCCGTAAATTCGTGAGATTTGCTGGATATCTACACTAACATGTGGGCATTTATAAGTAATTACATTTGGACATATATTCGAGTTTCTAGTTGTCATTTCAACCTACGGATGAACACAATCGGCACTGAAAAGCCAAGAAGCACTGCATAGATGTTTAAGCCCTGCTACGAATAAGCAGCGCGCATTTCACCAACCTTTAAGGAGGTTCAGGCATGCGACACTGTTGTTACATTAGGAAAAGCACTACTCGTTGCACGATCTGTTTGCCGCGTACGCCCACCTTGCATGACAATGACTGCTTGATAGTTGAATTTCAATGTACCCCGGGTTAGTGACGCCAAGTGCAACAAGCGAACAGTCGCGCATATAATGAACACATAAGCCGGTCGACTTTTCACGCATGAACTTGTTGCAATCGAACGTTCCATCAACTCATGCAAGAGCGCCGTCATCAAACCCGCGAATTTTCCTATCTGATATATATTTGTATCCTGCTGTGTTCGGAGACTTACAGGATGACCACAGAAAACCGTCCCCCATTCATCTGAGATCGTTCGGTCCCTACACACCACAGCATCTGCTTCGGTCTTGGCTTTTTATTCCATATGCTTGGGAATATCTTAGGAATTTGAACACCTTGAAAGTTATACGAGCATGATTTCTAAAAAGTTCACGAAGGTTAATAACGTGTGTTCATGTTGACAAATTGATCAGCATTCAAATGGTTCAAATCTGCACCGACGGTTTTAGGAAAAAACGACTGCAATATAAGGAAACTAGGGAACATAAACTAGCACCAAGCACAGATACAAACGAGATAAGTTGTACAATATTACCTGGTCGTTATTTTCATCACCAAAAGGTGGGCGTCCGCAGAACATATAATAAAGTAAACAACCCAGTCCCCAGTAGTCGGAAAGACGAGTGACCTGACCTGAGTTCAAAGTTTCAGGTGAAGTGAAGGGAGAAGGACTTTGTCTATCCAGACTATTCGATGCCTGACTGAACTCGTCTTCATCATTGAATCGCTGCAGTACTTCCTCAAGGCACTCATTTTCCAGATGAGCAAGTGAAAAATCAAAAAGCTTCACATTGCCGTTTCCGTCCAACAGAAACTTGAAGGATAATGAGTTAAGGAATATCATGTTACCCTTGATGGTCTCATGTCGTTGAACAAAACACCACGAGAATGTATGTACTCTAATCCCCGAACAATATCAGCGCCAAATTTTCGCACAACATTCTCTGGCAAGTTCCCGTCTTCTTTTACAACCTGCTCAAGATTTCCGCCAGTGCAAAGCTCCATTACTAACCACAAGTGGTTACTGGTTTCATACCACTCATGAAACTGCAGAACATTCTGGTGTTTCAGAACGTGTACAAAGCGCACATGATTGGAAATATATGGCCGAGTATGACGTTCAGCACAGCTTATTGCTAAGTACTTAATAGTACCTTTCCGTCTAGCTTTGTAAATTGTTTGATCATTCGCCTTCCCTATTTCGTCGTACAGCACGAAATTCTCCATTTCTTTCCATCAATAACCCACGCCTATAAAGTCGTCGTGGTCAGAAACGCGAAATTAGCGACCGGCTGGTACAGGAGTTCTGGGTCACGCCCGGTAAACAAATCCAACTAGGGCGCGTATGCCCACCTGGTCAGAAATTTGTTGCTGTAGCACTGTTAAACAAAATGGTGTTGAGATGCAGACTTTGGAAGCACCGCTTGGAAATTTGCCTACCATGCGTAGAAATGATGGGTGACATCAAGCTGGATGCCTGCCACGAGAACTTAAAGAATGGTTGTACACCCTTTTTTCATTTGTGCCCTTCGGGCGACCAGAAACCGCTAGGCGACAAGAGAAAACAACGCGGGAAGTTTGGGCGAAAGCTTCGATCATGTGCATCCATCCATGAATCTGCGTATCCGTGTCACGTATGACGTTTGGCGTCCAAAAGTTCCCTAGATCAAGAACAACAAAGCTCCATGGGGAGTGTTGGATGTCAAGCGAAATGTACTCATCTTGATCGGAAGAATTTACATTATCGCTCCCACTCCTCAATATATTTCCGCCCCAGTACAGAAACATTAGAGATTGTGTAAAAGACGCAGATCATTTCCTTTTCAG